GTGCACACACATCCTCCATCCCCACATCCCTTTCCTCTACCCTTCCTTCCAACTATTCCGTTCCGGCTGGCATCGCAGCCCAGGAGCCCCCTCCTGCAGCACAACAGGCTCCTTCGGCGGGTGTTTCACTGCCTTCCACTCTCTTTCCGACGTGTCTCTCCTTACCCCCCCCCTACCCCCTCCCTTCCCCAACACCCTAATGTTTTTTCCTCTGCTGCCGTCTACACTCTAGCCACAGCCACACCACCAGCTCTGCCAGCCTCTGCCATTCACCGCCCCTCACCCGTCTCGCACTCACTGCGCCAGCAAATACTGTCCGGTAATTATGTAGACCTAGCCCAGCTCATTCAGCCATCTTTTTTTGACAGTTGTCAACCCAGGGAACTGCAGACCGTCCTCGGTCCAGTTCTGTTAAAGCAGTCACTGCCAACCAGGTCCAAAGACTTGACTCCTGTCGAGTTTGCTCTAGCTTTCTCCCTATTTCGCGACGTCATCTGCTCTGCTTTTCCTCACCGTCGATCAGAGCTGGACGACTATCTGTCCATCGTGTTGGACATGGCTTTGCGTTTCGGGGGGACGGGATTTTATACCTACCATGTCCAATTTGCCGCACAAGCAGCCGGCCGGTTGCAGCAGCTAAACCAGGGGACATACTGGGGGGCCCTCGATTCAGAAATATACTGCCGCATTTTCGCAGCTCGTTCCTCCCTCTCCTGCGACTTATGTGGCGCCCCTTCTCATCCGGCCTCTGCATGCACTATCATGGCTCCTCCACCGCACTCCCGCCCCACCACTCCACGCAATGCCCCGATCTTCGACCGTCTGTCTTCCGCTGCACCCCCCCCTCCTGTCATCCCCAGAGCCAAGGACGCACGTCCCACTGTCAACGTGCCGGTGCCAAAGGGCGTCGACAAGCGAGGACGGCCGATCCTCTATCAGGGCGGCAGGATGGTGTGCAATAATTTCAATCAGTGGGGTTGCAACTCGTCCGGCTGCCGTCTCCTGCACGTCTGCTCCTTCTGCGGGGGCGCTCACGCCAGGACCACCTGCCCCCACAATCCCACCAACACAGCAGCATGACTAGAACGTCACCTCGGCACGCCCATAAAGGTACGTGCACTCGCTGCTGCTCTCAGTGACCACCCTGATAAGCAGTTTGTCGATTTTCTCATCTCTGGCTTCACTCACGGTTTTCACCCCGGCACGGAGGTGCTTCCTGATTCTTCCCACACATGTCACAATCTTCAATCCGCTCTCACGGAGCCCGACACTGTTGACACATTACTGGCAAAAGAAGTCATGGAAGGATTTATGATAGGCCCTTTCGATCATCCTCCTTTCCCCGTATTCCGTATCAGTCCCATCGGTGTCGCCACACGCAAATACTCGGGGAAAAAGAGGCTGATCATTGATCTGTCGTCCCCACACGGCTCCGACATCCCGAGCATCAACAGCCTTATTCCTAGCCCGGATTTCTCCATGCAGTACGCCACCATTGACCACGCCATGGCACTGATTCGTCTGGCGGGACACGGAGCATGGCTGTCTAAGGCTGATATCACTAGCGCATTCAAGGTCTTGCCCATTCACCCCGACTTCTGGTGTTATTTCGGTGTCTGCTGGAAGGGGGCTTACTACTTCTCCGTGCGTCTCACTTTCGGCTGCAAGAGCAGTCCCAAAATCTTTGACTCTTTATCCGAGGCTCTATGCTGGATCCTCTCCAACAATTACAGGCTCCCCTACGTCCTTCATCTCCTTGACGATTTTCTTGTCGTGACTCCCCCGTCCTCACCTCCTCGCCACGGTCTCACTACACTTACGTCTGCATTTTCCGACCTCGGTGTCCCTCTGTCCGAAGAAAAAACTTCAGGACCTGGCACATCCATCGAGTTTCTGGGCATCACTCTGGACTCAATGTCATTCCAGGCTTCACTGCCCTTGGAGAAAGTGCAGCGCATCTCGCTGCTCTTGTCTAATTATCTTCTGACAGACAGGTGCACCAAACGCCAGCTGCTCGCTCTCCTCGGGCACCTCAATTATGCCATCCGCATAATTCCACAGGCAAAATCTTTTCTTTCTCAACTGCTGACCAAAGCTGCATCCATTCCCTCTCTCCACGACCACGTGGTTCTGGACGACACTTGTAAAACAGAAATGCGCATGTGGCAGCAATTTCTGTCATCCTGGAACGGCATCTCATTCTTCTATGACGACTTCATCACCCATCCCGAGGACATTCAACTCTACACAGACGCGGCTCCCTCCGTGGGTTTCGGCGGGTATTACGGGGGGAGGTGGTTTGCTGCCGCTTGGCCCTCCGAGTTCGAGTCCCTCGACACAGAGTCACGCTCTCCCTCGTCTGCTCTGTACGAGCTGTACCCCGTGATCATCGCCACTCTAATCTGGGGGCACGAATGGTCAAAAAAATGCATTAATATTCACTCTGACAACACAGCAGTAGTAGATATAATCAATAAAGGCCGTTCCCGTTCCCCAGCCATCATGCCATTCACCCGCAGACTCACTCTCATCTCCGCTCAGTATCAATTCATCCTCCGCGCATCTCACATTCCCGGTCACCACAATGCCATCGCTGACTCACTCTCCCGCTTCTCTTTCCAGAAATTCAGATGCTTGGCTCCAGACTCGGATGTCCATCCCACACCAATCCCACCGTTTTCAGCAACCATATTCAGCTAAATCCTCATCTGGCAAATCTCACTCACATCTCCCAAGAAACCATCCTTAACAGTTTAGCACCAAGCACGCTATCTGCCTACCTCACCGGCTGGAATTCTTTCAAGAATTACCACGCCACTTATCATCTACCGTTTCCCTCTCTGGACGCCATGTCCATATGCAACTTCATCTCACACTGTCATACCGTAACAAAGATCCGGGCCTCCAGCATACAAACATATCTAGCTGGTATCAACTTATTTCATAAATTATCCACCGGCCTCCCTTGTCAATCAATCTCGCACGCTCACGTCACCATGCTAATCAAAGGCTTACGAAAGCACGAACCAGCGCTGACAGCCAGACGCCTCCCTCTCACCTCCGATCTGCTCAGCCGCTGCATACGCACTCTGCGCTCCGGTTACATCTCTCCCACAGTCGACTTAACACTGGAATCAATGTTTCTACTCGCTTTCTTCGGATTCCTGAGGTGCTCTGAATTCGCTCCAACATCATCTGTCTACGATCCTTCCCGTCATCCCAGTCTATCCGACATCACCACCCACACTTCAGACTCGCTCATATTCACGCTCCGCAGGAGTAAAACTGATCAGTTAGGAGTAACCTTTCCCATCTACATCTTCCGCCTCAACTCCTTTCTCAGCCCTCACGAGCCACTGACCAGATACATCCACGCCCGGTATTCCGCCCGCGCTTCACCACAAGATCCCCTCTTCCTCACTGAAACAGGGAGGATGGCCACCCGTTTCTGGTTCCAGAAACACTTCCATAACATCCTCCGTCTCTCCGGAATTTCATCTGATCATTACTCTTGCCATTCCTTCCGCATCGGCGCCGCCTCCTCAGCCGCCAGATCAGGTATTTCAGACCAAGTCATTCAGGTCCTCGGGCACTGGTTCTCACAAGCATATCAAACCTACATCCACAATAACCTCAATGATCTCCGTCTAGCGCACGACAGACTAAGCCTCACTTAATCAGACTCTTTTGGGGGCTTCCTAAACAGCAAGGGCTCATCAGAACTCGAGACAGAACCCCCACACTGAGTCTCTCCGCCCACATCTACACCTCACCCAGTCCGACCCTCCGATGACGTCATCTCCATCCCGTTCATTCACCTGCAATCTGCACTCCCCCATTCATCACCACCCCATTCATAACCATTTTCTGACAATCACATCCTTATTAAATCTCTAAACTGCATATCGTTGTGGTGTGGTCCTTGCTAGTGAAAGCAGTTTCTAACAGTTGCACCCCCCCTGCTGTTTTCTGTCCCTTTGAATAAAAGTACTGAAAATAACCCCACACTAGCTATTCTACCTGTTAGTCTTTACTAGCAGAAGCCCACAACATGCTACGTAGTGCTATTTAGAGCACTGATTATCCAGATCTAATGATCTTTAAAAGTTTGTTTCTGGATCAGGGTGATTCAGTCCAATGTTGCTTTGAAAAACCGCCTCAAAAGTAAGGTGGATTAGTCCACCCTGATAGCAAAATATGGGACATTTTTAACAACTGGGCCCTGGTCATCACCACAGCAGATAATGTTTAATAATATTTAATTAAGCCGATTGTTTATTGTCATGTGGTCTAATGAAAAAGTCCCTGTGTGTGCTATTACACATCTGTAATTTGTAATGCCAAGAGGAAGATTCAAGAGGCTGCAAAAAAGAGAGGAAAAAAGCTCACATATTCAGCTGACTGTTTCATAAGGAGGTGAAGTCAAACTTCTCAGCTAGCTGTTCACATATTTCTATGAAACCCGATATGATGCCTACTTTCATTTCCTCTCTCAAGAATCATGACCAGGTTACTCAAGATAATCCACAGACCTTGTTGTGAGCAGTTTCATGTAGGAACTATTATCTCAAGTAACTGGGTCATGATTTCTGGAAAGAGACATTGCTGTTGAGTTTCTAAGTATATTTTTGAGCACTACAAGCTGAGTGTTATCTAGTGCTGTTATAGTGGAGAGAAGGGAGACATCTCTATGGCTGATATCTCCAACACTTGGCAGCTCACACCAAAACAATCTAGACTGATAAATAGCACTGCAGGTAATAGGAGAATGTGTATTTTGACTTTTGGGTGAACTGTCCCTTTAAGTTAGATGAGGGCTGTGTGGAGACATTACCTCACAAAACTATTTACATTTAATTATTATATCTTTACATTGAGACATTAATAAAAGGTTAATAATTATAAATCTGACCGAGCTTCTTAAAGTAATACCTTTCTACCCGTCACTTATGAGTCATTCTCTGTGTCATGCTGATGTCAGGATTTGTGTTTGCACTCAGGTCCCGCTGCGGAGACCCTGGAGGAGGCAGCAGGAACCTCTGAACATGAACCATTATGCCAATAAGAAGAGTGCAGCGGAGAGCATGCTGGATGTGGCTCTGCTGATGGCTAATGCCTCACAGCTGAAGGCCGTGATGGAGCAAGGACCAGACTTCACCTTCTACGTGCCCCTCATCACGCTCATTAGCATCTCCCTCATACTACAGATCGTAGTGGGAGTTCTGCTCATCTTCATTGGTAAGTGTGGAGCCTCCTCATTTCTGTTTTTTTTTTTTAAGATATTTTTTGGGCATTTTGCCTTTAATGGACAGGACAGCTAGGTGTGAAGGGGGAGAGAGAGAGAGGGGGGATGACATGCAGCAAATGGCTACAGGCTGGATTTGAACCTGGGCTGCTGCGGCAACAGCCTTGTACATGGGGTGCCTGCTCTACCCACTAAACCACCGACGCCCCGCCTCCTTGTTTCTGTTTGTCAAACTTTAGCATTCACAAATGAGAGGATTTACAGTGAAATGTACAGTATGTGTTGTTTTAGTCCTCTGCTGCATCATTGTGTAAATTCAAAGCAGAAACTGTGAGTTACATTGAGTAATCAAACCATCCACGCTCTGTGTGACACTGCTGTGACACAGCAACAGTATGTTACAAGAATAACTTTTTTGCTTTTACAGCAAAAATCAGAGCCAAAACTCCCAAGAATGGAAACACAGCTGACAGCTGCTCGTAATTTTTACTCAGATGCTGATGAAAGCAGTTCTTTTATGTCATTCTTATTATTAATTTAAGATATTTAATACTCTGTGAGTGACCCTGACTGTCATTTATTCATTTTTCAAAACTGCTTATCCTGTTGGGGGTCGCAAGGGTGCTGGAACCTATTCTAGCTGACATTGGGCGAGAGGCAGGGTACACCTTGGACAGGTCACCACCAGACTATCACAGGGCTGACACAAAGAGACAGACAACCATTCACACTCACATTCACACCTACGGACAATTTAGAGTCACCAATTAACCTACATGTGTTTGGACTGTGGGAGGAAGCCGGAGTACCCAGGGAAAACCCATGCTGACAGGGGGAGAACATGCAAACTCTGCACCCTGGGTTCAAACCAGGAACTCTCTTGCTGTGAGGCGACAATGCTAACCACTGCATCACCATGACGCTGTTTTAAATTGTGGTTACTGTACTTAAGTAATTTGAAGAATTCTCTGGCACATGAATTTCCTTCAGAACAAATAAAGTTCTACTGAACTGAATTGAATTAATATAATTTACGCACAAATTTAATTTTAACATGGTTGCTTTGCTCTACGACTACAAATAATTCTACTAATTTACAAACTTTAGAAACTTGAATTTCTCAGGTTGTTCTCCAAAGTTTACAAACATGGTGTCTACAGGTCCTTAAAAAGTCTTGAAATGTCTTGAATTAGGTTTTCTTAAAATAAGGCCTTCAAAAATCTTAACTGGTCTTAAATGGGTCTTAAATATTTTTGGTTACATTACCACGAAAATGTCTCCAGCCTGACGAACCCAATCATTGGACAGACAGAAGAATTGCAATAATAAATAGCATTTATGACAGCAGTTGTTTTCTTTTTACATTAAACTTAAACTCACTTAATTGTTGTCATTTTTCCTTACTGTTATTTTGAACTGACATCAGTGTGTTTACTTGGAAAGAATTCCTACACATGTCCCACACACAAATTTATATATATCTTTCCATCGCAGGTTTGGTCTCAAGTTTCCTATAAGGTGCGATTAAAAAAGTCTTAAATTTAACTTGGTTATGTCTGTAGACACCCTGTACAAAGGGTGATTTACAATCACAGGCATTGTATTAATTTAGGTTCACCATTTTACAAGCACAAACATTGTATTTACGCTTATTTGGGCACATAAATCTGCCAGCACAAAGTTTACTGCCCATACATTGGCATTCTCCCTCTTCCCTTATAGCCTTATCTTATCCTAACAGAGAATACTATTGTGACACAGAGCTGAGTTAAGGGAGCTGCAGCAGGAAGGAACGCCTCTGCTGTCAGCTGTTTCCACGTTTAAAGTTATGTCATGGGAGATTTACCAATGCTGAATAAAAGATATTGCTAAATACTCAAAATACAGACTTCCTGTCTGTCTAAATCAGCGTGGCATGGAGTGTCCTGATGGAGGAAGGAGCTAATTATTCACCTGAGGGCTCAGATGCTGTTAATTTATGTCATAGTGCTCAGTAATGATTACCTCACTGCTCAGTTGGCAGGACACACTGTGCTGCCCCCTGGTGGGGAAAGGAGGTCACTCCTACTGACGAAGCAAAACTCACTAATGTTTTCATGTTTTTGTTCTGTCAGTGAAGTGGAACCTGAATGATGAGAGCATGCACTACAAGCTGAACATCATCGAGAACTTTGCCACAGCCTTCGTCTTCATCATAGTGGTGGTCAACGTCTTCATCACAGCCTTTGGTGTGCAGCGGCCCAACACACAAGGCTGATGCCTGCTGATCAACTTAGTACAGATGGACCTCCACATTATTTATGCAAATGAGCAGGATATTTATTCATCAAATTAAACGGCATGCAGGTGCACTTGCCTTTCTGTAATCCAACCTCCCAGGCTTCAGAAGACCTGACACATCCTGAGGATCAGGTGACATTGTGTGTGTATGTGTCTGTGTGTGTGTATTGAAGGAGTTCTTCCTTCTCTATGGACAAATGTGTGGTCACTTTTTATTTCACTGTGTGGCTACCCAGTTTGTTACCTCTTTTCTTGCTCAGGTTACTGATGCAAATACATTATTGCCTTTACTTACAGAACAAACATATCAGGAGCAATATACTGCGTGTCAGTCACAACCATTGTGAATGTTTTATGAACAAAAACATGTTCTAGTACTGTTATTTTAACATGAGTCAGTATGTTTCAGTCTAAACCTGCATGTGTGCCTACATCTGTAGGAGAATAAAAGAAATAAATCACCACAGCATCATCCAAATGACATTCTTCGCAGTAGGTGCATCAGGAGCCAGCCTGGCCTACTGCTGCTCGTGAGGCATTACATGATACAACAGCTTTATTATGTGGGCAGACGTACGTTTACATTATTATAAACCTCGCCCAATTAATGAAATGGACCTTACATGCTCTGTTTTTTAAGTGCTATTCAAGTATAGTTTGTGATGTGTAAAGTGATTTATGCTAGTGTTTGTTTATTGACGTATATAGTGCACTGTGTTTCTTTTAGGCCTTTTATCACATTTTTTAAAGACCAAAAACTTACAAAGCTTTTTCAACATGATCTTGTATTACACACTGTGACGACTATTTTAAATGAATTTTATAAATAAACCACAAAAGTGATAAAGATGTGTCTCTTGTCCTATTTATCACCATGCTGTTTTTTTTTTTTTTTTTTTTTTATTTTTTTAAATCATACAAAGACAGAAGTCTCAATCCAACAAATAATGGCACTTCCAACTTTAAGGCATTTTTACACAGCACAGTACACGAGTGACAAACTGTCAGGCACTGGACTCAGTGAGTAGACATTAAATCACAAACAACAAAAATCAAAAGTATTTTCTTTTGGAACAATTTTACAAAATTGTTGAATACAAGAATAATAATAAAGTCATGCAAATTGAAGTTTTTCAGGCATTTCTGGTATTGGCTTCTGATAACCTGATGTTAAATCATCATAAAGCAGTGGTTCCCTAATGGTGGTGGGTCATGGGTCCATTCTGGATGGACCATAAGTGACTCAAGAACTAACTAACGGGCAGCTACTCAACAGAGACAGCAGTCTAGCTCAATGACATGGACAAACACAAGTAAGTAGTTGACTATATTTAACTGTGTGGACCTTGAACTAATGACTAAAGACAAATCTGGACCCCATGGCTGGACCAGTTGGGAACCACTACCATAAAGAAAACCACAATGAAATACAGTTTGACAAAGCACCATTGTGATAGTTACGGTTATGTTCAAATCCACTTCTCTATATCACACGTTAAAGAAAAAAAATCATCTAAATTCATTTACTGCCAGACTTTGTATTTAAAAAAGACTTATAAGAAACCAACTTACCAATAGTTGGCAAAAAGGCACAGTAAGAACAAAGAAATATCCACACAAAAAGATATAATATCTACTAATAGCTGGCGAGGAACTTATTAACATTTAAATGGGCTTATTCTGTCACAAACTGAGAGTACTTCTGTTGTGAGAAAGCCTGCAGACAAAGCATTAATGTTTCAATAATCCTCTGAGTATTCAGCAGCTAAATGCTAGAGGCCAAGGGAACAACAAGGGAAATACTCGGGCACTTCCGGTCTCACAGTACATGCCAAGAGAAGGAGACGTAGTTTGGAGTGAGAAAGTAAGACGTTAACAGTTAGTAAGGCAGCGTCCACATAAAGATAAAGTTATATACGTGAAAAAAAACATGGTTAGAGATGCCACGAAGTAGGTGACAGTGCCTTAACCGTATGTGTGTTGATGACCACAGGGGCCAATTCCATCCTTGTCAAGGGGAGTGCTAACCTTCTCTCCTTTCATACAACACAACTACTACAACGGAAAACAACAGGATTTATACACCGAGTAATGAAATTCGGTTTCACTTACGGTGCAATTTCCGGGTTGCTGTCATAATAATCATAAATATTTAACACAGCTGTTATAAGTTTCATTTAAAACTGGTTTATACTTCAGCTTTATGATTATTCATTCGGCATTTGTATGTTTTGGTGTAAGTTTGTACCGTTACCCATGATACACTGCGCGGGTAGAGCGGGATATCATTGGTGGAAGCAGTCACGTGACTGCAAACTCGTCTAAAACGGTTTAAAATAACACTTCACGGACATGCTCGATGGTATTTATCGCGTTTACATGCTTATTTATTTTTGTCTAACATGAGCTGCCGAATTTTGAGAAGCTCTTATGAAACCAACACAAGCCAGACGATGTTTGGGGCTGTGTTCACTTTTGGCCACACGGGGGCGGTGACGTTCTATAGGGAGCTCGGCCTCATGGACAGAGGGGTTGAGGTGAATTTTAATATGCTGCATATCAAAGGAATACAAATCCATCATCCAAATACATGTCTAGTAGCACAGCATGCTGCAGAGAAAGGCGTGGAGTGCTGTCCAAAAATACTAAATAAAAATATGAATAATAAGTCTGCACTGAGTCTTAACAGCAAAGTGTAAGTGAGCACATGTAAAGCAGGCTGTTGCTTTGTGCATTCAAGAATTATTATTACATGGATGCAAAATGCACATATGAATTGGGGGCTATCTTTAATGTGAGATAAAAATGGATCCTATATAGCAGGGATACTCAACTTGCTTTGCCCAGGAGCCACTTAATAAACAAACATTAAAGATATTTATCAGATAAGTTGAATATCCAGTCTCAGCAGCCAGGCACAGGTCAGGTGTAGGGCAGGATTTGAGGACATTCAGAGCTTAGCCTGCACCCCAGATCCTCCTCTGGCACTTTTTTTAAATCTTAAACAAGCTATATTTCGATCCATTTTGTTAGCACTCTGGTATTGTATGTACATTCAAAGTACAAAAACAAACCAACAAATCCCAGTGTGAATTCATTATCATCACTGTGAACTGGAAAATGGTCAGCTGGTCACCCTGCACCCTTGGGCTGTAAGTTGAGTATCACTGCTATACAGTGTTAGTTATTTTGTCACTAATGCAGTCAGTGTTTTTCTTGTTTAATTCTATTATAAAAACCTGATTTATGCCACATTTAAATATTGTAGCAACAGCTTAATTCTCATTTCACTGTGGTTATCCCTCAAGTGTAATCGATCCCTTTAACCTACTTAAACAGTTATCAATATCTGAGGAAATGAGAGCACAGTGCCAAATGTAGCTCTGCATTTACCCCATCTTTCTCTTTTTAGATCACAAGCAAAATACTATATACAATTGTGTACAAAATTAGTATTCATCTCCTGAAAGGTGATAGTGTGCTGTGCTTTGGTACAAGTAGCATCCTTGAGAGCAACACTGCTGAAGCACCTGGTGTGAATGAGTCACCACCTTACATCTCAGTGTACCAAATGAGAACCTCCCGAGCTTTCTTTTTCAGACCCAGCGCAGCCATCCCGAGGGCCCGGCTGCCTCCCGTCACTCTGGCCTCTGCAGAACACAGACGCCATCTTTGTAACACTGAATTAACAGCATTAAGTGAAGCTGTATTTTCAATTAGCCAGTATCTGATACCATCTGAAATACTATCTGATCATCACAATTAAAAACTGGAAAGCTGCTTACCACCGTAGTAGTAGAGTAAAGCCATTCCCACCGCAACGCCAAAACAGCCCAGAAAGAAGAAGGGACCTGAGAAGAGATAAACACTTAGCAACATAAATGTAATTAACTATCTAGTGTGTGTCAGAGCTAAATGCTAAACTACCTGACACACTTTTAGCATAGTTTTTGGGCCGTGGGAAGGCATCAACCCAGCAGCATATTCAAGTGTTCCCCATATTTTTTGAGCAGTGAATGTTGCACACACATTGATATACATACACTCTTTAACATTAACATCTTACCTCTGTCATTCATAACATATCTCTGTTGGTAGGCACGTGGATGCGCAAGTGGATCTAAGGAATCTGGAAGCGGGACAGATATGTTTTAGTGTGTGGAATAAAATGTAGAATACACAACAAATGATTTATAAATATCACACATGATATAAAGAGGCAGGTTTTGGGGACTAACCTCTAAGGCGGAGCCGTGTGGGCAGGCTGTAGTATACCTCCTCTACATGCAGGTGAAGAGCTCTGTAAAACTCCCTGCATGCTTCCTCTCCTTTCCTCTGCAGGTGTGTCAGCAGCTCACCCACTCGAACACTTGTAGGCACGTCCAAGTTTCGAAACTAGATAACAATAACAACAGTTATAATAGGATTTTTTTTAGGTTTGACACAACTTGCAGGTATACATTAACCAATAACAGCTGTCAATATCACAACACATGTAGTTATCAGGGCAATGACAGACAGTTAAATTGGGGACTTTCTTACACATCGTGTGGGGTATCTGGAATTTTGTGTGTTGAGATTGGCTGCTCTCCAGTATGTACGCTACTTAATGATGATTCAGAGCAGAACTTTAATCACACTCAAAGGCAGCTATGTGTATTAGCACGCACTGCTGTTAAAAGGATGTTAGCGGTTAAATGGAAGCCGCCACACAGTCTTTCCATTCAGCAGTGGAAATACTCTTTAGTGGAGATTTTATCTGTGAAGCTCTCTGTTGCTAGATGAAGGGGGCAGGTTGCATCATGCCTGAGGCGAGGAAGGAAGCACTCAACTTGAAAAATGGAATGGAAATATCCTTTCCTGGAGTGCTGGCTGACACAGCTTGCCCAGGCCAGGATGAAGCATCTCCAGTGGAATTATTTGGGAATTATTTACGTTATTCACTTTCAAGTGTTTTCGAATCATCATATAATTTGTAGATCTAAGACATGACATCCTCCCCCTCCACTGACACTTTTGAGACATATCTTAAAATGTACATGTTGTTGATAGCCTTTAGTTGTTTGCAGTGGTTTTAGTATTTGTTTTTAACAGTTTTATCCTGTTTTACATTTGTGTGAATTTTATATTGCTACATATTTGAGTGTCATTCTCTTTTTATTTAGTACAGCACTTTGGTCAACTGCGGTTGTTTTTAAACATGCTGTATAAATAAACTTGAGTTGATTTTTGATTTGAAGAAATAATTTAACGTGCAGTGATATAAAACTAGAATGTAGAGGCTCACGCACACCTTCAATGACTTGTAGACAGATGTGTAGAAGGAAAACGTCTACAGGAAAGAGAGGAGAATTGCGGCACACTGTCCTGTTACTTGCAATAAACTTTGTTTCAGTGTGGAAGGACTGAAACATTGTGTGTGTTTTGACTGTGGTCTAAATTTCAAAGCTCAATATAATTTGTGAACATTAACTGCATTTTATCATTTACGTAATGCAGCTAAGGTACGACCTCTACTGAGACAGAAAGATGCTGAGAATCTTGTCCATGCTTTTGTCTCCAGTCGTCTTGATTATTGTAATGCTCTGTACGCTGGCCTGCCTAAATCAGCCACTGCAAAACTACAGAGCATTCAGGGTTTTAACTAAAACTATAAAGAGAGACCATATTGCTCCTGTTTTACGTAACCTACACTGGCTGCCAGTATGTTTAAGAATTGATTTTAAAAGCCTTCTTTTGGTTTTTAAGGCTCTTAATGGCACTGCCCACTCCTATATAATAGATTCCCTATCACCTTGTGTCCCTCCATCAGCCCTGAGATACTCCACAGCTGCTCTTTGAAATGTTCTTAATGTTACTACAAAAACCTTTGGGGGATGCTTCTTTTAGCAACAACGCCCCAAAAATATGGAACACCCTGCCTTTAAATATAAGACTAGCTGGCTCAGTGGACAGTTTTGAACGACAAACTTAAAACATATCTTTCTAATATAGGTTATAACTAGAGGCTGTTTGTTTTAATATTTTTAATATGTTTGTATATATGTGTTTTTGTTATTACTTGATTAATTATTGATTGATACATTTATTTATTCTCCTCTTTTCTCCTCGAATGAGTGTTGTATAATTGCATGGTTTTATTTATTTTCTGTTCATTTTTAACTCAGTACATTTACTCATGTAATTTTATGCTTGTTAAAGTACACTTTTAAGGTATTGGTACTTTCCTGCAGTGTTTCCATCTTATTGTATTTTTACTTAATTTCTGGGAGAAATAGTGTGTACATTTATCTCACAGCTATAGCTACCAATTACTTTACAGATACAGACCTACTATGAGTTTATAGAATAATAATGCATTATTGATGAATTTACAGCACATATACAGCTGCAACATTAAATGCTGCTAACAAATGAGTACACCGGTAATAATAGGCAAGTGATTTATGATGATACACCATTGGCATGGGTCACTCTGCTGCATGATGTATACTAATATTTTGCAAGCATAGTTTTGCAGTGTTGTTGTAGTTTCACTTTTTCCTTATCTTTTCCACTACTCCCTGCATGTGAAGGAGCCAGTGAGGTACTCTGTGTGAAGACTTACTCTGGTGGCCTCCTTGTCTGAGAGGATCTGCGGGTAGATTCTGTTGAGCTGCAGGATAATTTTGTCCACCAAGTCTGTGTCCAGCCTGCGGTCAGCTCTGAGGAAGGCGCTGTCCTCTATCAGCTGGTCATGGAAACTATCTGTTAACAGAGTTTAAAATAATTAGTACAGCAGCAATGCTGTTTCTCCAACAGACTGGCTTTCATTGAGAGGAGACGTCACTTTACAGTACAGGATACTGAACGGAAATTTGACATTATCTCCGGTCTTTGCTCCAAACGGTGTCAGGAGAGGAGTGTGGGGGCACAGGAACGAAGCGAAACATTTGGTCATAGCTAACTTTAACGCTTCTCCTGACAGCAAAACGAAAAGTGAGGCTCTTCATGAGGGAAACTGTGATGTTAAGGAACTTTTCAGAAGCAGGAGTTGGACTGAGACGTTACTCATTGTCACTGTCAAACCGAGGCAACGTTTGACGGTGGTAACCGCTGTGCTAATGTTCGTCATTTGGACGTAATGGGAAGACACTGAAGCGAAACACAAGGCTAAACTACACTGTAAGATAAGCGTTAGTTTACGTTAAAGAAAGACACAAACCTCCCATTGTGGAGTCCCCTCTGTCCTCTGTTTGGACACGCCCCCTGACGTCACCGCGCAGGCTGGGAGTGGTTTACGTAGACGTCCTTAAAGAAGGAAAAAAACTTTCCTTTTCACCGGAAATGGGACCAAATGGGACCAACTGACGGAAATGCCAAGCTAGGCAGCAGCTAACAACATTGCTACACGTTTATTTTATTTTCCATCCATAAACAAATCTTTGACATGTACACTGGTATTCATCTTAAATAAAACTGAGCAGTCTGTTGTCACTATGGATGAATTCATTGTAGTCCTTTTATAACTTGACAACATTTTAAATTAGTCTCTGTGTTTCCGACTGGAAATAAACTGTGGCCCAAGCTGTTCCCCTAGTAACAACATAGCAATGAAAAGGTCGAGAACCATAGAAACAAAAATGATACATTTTTTCCATGTCAAAAACTACATTTTAATAATATTTATTTGTATAGCACTTACCTAAACAAGGTTACATAGTGCTTCACAAAGTGCATAGAAATAAGACAACAATGCAAAGGAAATAAAACACAAAAGTTACAAATCACAAAAGTATAACACAGGCATTTAAAGGGTTTTTTTTAATTTTTTTATGTACAATACTGTAAAATGGATATCTTCCTGCCTATACAGTTACCATTATTGTTTGGTACATTTATGTTGATTGTGTTGCTGATTTGTATATATTAGTTCTTGTACACAATGCATCTTGTATTCAGCTGTTGAGCGGTCTGTATGGTTTTTTTTTTTTTTTTATAAAAAAAGGTAATACAGGATTAGTCTATATACTTCAAAAATCATGACTGTTTTAATTTCTCAACAGGAGAAGAATAAAGCTATATTGTAAAATTGAATGTGTGGTGGCAGGTATCTTACCATAAAACTTATTTAATTAGAAATCAGAAGCCCAGGCTATTATTTGCCTAAGTTACTGAACTCAACAGGTGTGTTTTTGGGACAGGTGTCTATATGGGACAGGCCTTTAATTCCTTTTATACAAAACTGTTGCTCAGCAAAGGGAATACAATCTAACTGTTTATTTAAACCAGTATGAATATAACATTTTAAAAAAAAATAGGCCTCGAATAACATCAATTATGTGTTATGTTATGACACTGGTTTCACGGCACTTGAGGATTACAGCCCCCTGCATACTGACACAACACTGCTTTATCCTGTTAAAATTATATTCGTAACTTGGATTAACTATGGTGAAAAACACTTTTGATTCTTTTGATCAGTGGACCCATATGAGTAATAGTAATGGACACATACTCTGGTTTTATGAGAGCTTCAGAGGAAGGGAGTCACTGCTTGTTTTTTTGTCATGCTGGTAAATCTGTATGAATTTCAGTCTTCTCTGGTTGGTTTCAGTAAAATAAACTGAACTGAGCTAACATTCAAACATTTATATTTGTATGTGCAATGTGTGATGTGGGTATGAAGTCAACAATCTGGTTTTATACATCCAAAGAACTCCTATAGAAATGAACTGCTTGACAACCAGACCAGGCTTCTAATTGAGACAGGCCTTTATTTTGTCAAAATGTGTAGCCACACCAGGCTAGTAACAGGGACTGGGAGTTTAACTGGGACCAGGCTTTTAATTTGTGTTTTACGGGATGTTAGATTGGAAAAAAAAGAACAAAAAACCTGTTTGTGAAAGTTAGATTTATTTCATCACCAGCAGTAACTGTTAGCAGAGACAGCAGCCCACAGTCACCAATTTTGCTAGTGTTTTACCACAAGTTCAGTCTTATCAATATTCCGACCAGCCACCTCCACTCCGACTCCCTTATGAAACAAAAAGGATGAAGACATCCTGTAGTCTGAACAGTGTCAAATAAATACAATTGCAGTTGTAGTAAAAACATATAAAATCAATTAGGAACAAGTATGTGAGCAATATAGTGTAAAATATATTTTTTTTACATAGCATAATCATTTAGTTTTGTTTTTTTTTCCTTGCCATGTTTGCAAATTGCACTTGCATAAACAAAACAGGATGGCACTGCAGGCTTCTTGTTTGCAGACTGTAGGACTCAAAAGGTTTACAAAAAAATTGTATTAAAACAAATACATTAAAAACTCTCCTTCACGAATAGTTTATGAATACTATTAACATCTGACCTTAACTTAGAAATCTTTAAATAAGCTTTGCATTAATACTCTTTCTTAGTCTTAACAAGCATACTGGAATTTGTAACAGCTCTGCCATGTCTACAAGAGGAGCCCAATAACATGAAATGTAGTACGACCCTGAAACTGTAGCACCATATTTACAGGATCATATAGTGAAAATAATATATTGCAATACTGTTTTAATGAGTTACACAGGACATATAGCTATCAAGACTGATGAAGTTGAAATAGTTTCTATGGGCTGTCAGCAGGTTGCCCATACATTAAGGCCAAAAGGAAAATAACTAAGGCAAAAAAGTGTATTTGTCTCTTTTGTTGAATTTCAACCAGCTCAATTTCAAACAAACTGAAAGTCTGGGTTTGTCGCTATGAAATAAATAAGCTGAATCACTGGAAAATCTCAACAAGAATCTGGTAGACAAACATGCACATCTGGTAGAAACACTGTATAATACTTGTAACAATTAGTAGGATTTTTTACAAAGAAAGAGGAATCACCTAAGAGCAAATAAGTAAAACAAAAAAAGTGCAGTCAGAGTAACACAGGCAATAAGTAACCAGCAAACACTGATCTTGAGTCTTCCTCTGATTCAGTAATAATAGTGGTGCATGTCGTTGGAAGACTGGAGGACTGCAGCGGGCAGCTGATACGATGAGTCTTTCCGCAGTCAGAATTTTACATAACTGTTTTGGCACTCTAAAACAAGTCTCTTGGCAAATACTGTTGGATATGTATGTTCTTGTGTTGACGACAACATGATTTGGACCGCGATTAGAGAGTGAAGGAACCAGGTGACTGGCAACTGTCACAAACACTCTGACGGAGCTCCTTAAGGACACTTGGCATGATAGATTTACTGCAAATGAGAAGATAGAAACAGGAGAAAACAATCACATTATGTTGATTGTTGATTGATTGATGAAATTTCACTGAATTACTAAGGTGTAGTTTATTAATGAAAGCAGCAGCTGGGAAGGTTAGATGGAGCAGGAAGCAGAAGACTGAGGTGTGGTTTGCATGCAGGCTTTAGTAGTGAGTCACTGATGCTTCAGGGAGTGTTTGAGTCATTCAGACTTCTGACATCACTCCTGTGTGCTGACATAAACCTTTAAAATTATGCGTTTGTTTAATACAGAAAATAGAGAATAGTAGCTTAAATGTGACAGAAACATGATTAATGAAGTCAAAACTGAACATACTAATGCTGGTGGTTTTGGTTTCTTGGTTTGTCCTTGGTGTTCAACCTAGGACACTCACTGTGGTGCCAATCATTTTATCAATATCTCACAAGTTGTTTTAGACCAGTGAGAGAAAAAGAAGTTGTATTATGAAGTGAGGTTGCATATAAATGAATGGCTCTGGAGAAATAACACAATAAATAACATATATGCTGACAAATGGTAACAAACAATTAAATAGTATAAAAAATGTGCAATAAAACCTTGTGGCCAACGCTTCTGAAATGGATTTCATGTTACAATTTCTAATTATTTGTTGACATCATGTTTTGTTGATTATGCAAAGGATCATCTTCATTGTCCCAGAACATGTCAGAACTCAAACATGGATGAAAGTTTGGTACTTTGAATGACAAATGATATTCACTTACACTTATCAGTGCAAATTTAAAAGGGATGCAGCTTGGAAGCAAGTGTCAGTTGTATCAATATTAGCACATAGGTTTACAGTTTCATGCAGTTCTCATGCCAAATAATGATAGAAATATTAGTCAGAAAATAAAACTTAAAACCCATGCTTGAGGAATTTGTGTCTTCCTTGTTGCAAATTGAACAGATTCTGTATAAACCCTTTTATAGTTTGTAGAAAAGGTGTGTGTGCATTTTGGCAATGGAAGTATGGTGGACCACAACAGCTTGTCAAGTTATGCAAGGGCACTAACCACCAAAGATTGTGAATGCTACTTCAACAAATTGACTTTGGCAAGTGGGAACAGACTTCCAGATCCATGCAGTGACTGGGCAGAAGACATTAGTAAGTGGCCTGATATATACACTTATTTGATTGAGAAACCTAGCATGTACACCAGGGAGAAACTATGAGCATACAAGTCACTAGATGCTTACGATTACGTTATCTGTGGACATGTGCAGAACTTGAAATACCACAACATCGATTCAGAGTTTTGTGTGTTGAAATCAGAAATCCTTCCTAGTCAAAGACATGGACACAAGACTGCCATGTATGAAACCAAGATAGCTTGCAGCCATAACTGCTGCCGATTACTCTGAAATGGTTGTGATCCTCTCGGAATCCTGTACAACTTGAGTCCACCAGTGGAATATCGATTCTGACAATCATACACACACAACTAGACATTTTGGTCCTGGTAAAATGTTGAATTCAATGTTTGCAGTTTGATAACTCACCAGAATGACTGCTACTTCCTTGGCCAAAATGCACACGCATCTTTTTGATGCATCGGCTGTAAAATGGTCTACATTATTTTAACATAAAAGCATCAAAGTATAATTGTTTTTATGTTAGAATTAGCACGAGTAGCACAAAAGAAAGCACTGGTTCCACTCAACCTGTCTAACATAGTGAAAACAACCATGCATCACTGACATCCCAAAAATATTAGGTAGTAATAATATTAGTATGCCATATATGGTGTTAGAGTTATGATGGCTCAAAAAACAGAGCACAGTGTTAGAAAAAATTAATGTATGCAAAGCCTGAGAGAAATGCAAATCTTGTAAAAGATATAGAGTTTAAAAAGGGCACAGAAAGCCTTGAAAAAGAACCCAGGGCCTCTGCTGTTGCCTCGTGGCTCAGAGTTGATTTTGCAGTACACATTCTGACTTACATGATGGCCGGAAGAGGCTCCTTTGCCCTTTGTTTTGCCCTTGCCTGCCACCGCTGTGGCACTGT